CAGGCTGAGACGCTGTTTTTTGCACATTCGTCCGTTTCCCCCGTAACTTCTTCATCCGAACTCGGATTTGAGCGATTCAAAGTGCGTTGGAAAGCTGACGAGGAGTTCTATAAACTCCAATGATTATATCATCAGTTGAACAAATGAGGCACGAAGGGTATTTTGCCGTTTGTGAACGATACAAGGTTCCCGATCAGTTCGTGTCTTTGTTATTCTGAAATTCCGTTGGTTTACGTAGTTCATCGATTCACTTCAAGCGTTCACCGATGTTAATCGAGCTTCTGTGACTTGGATAGTGACGTTCCTCACCTCATCTTAGCATTGAGCTGATCACGGAGACCTATAGGCAATTTTCGATGCCTACAGGTATATCGGACCCTTCCGGATATTGGAGCGCATTGGAGTTGTGTCATACAGACTAGATCTTCCAGCATCGATGTCTAGTATACACAATGTGTTTCATGTTTCTATGCTCAATAAACACTTGCATGATGAGGAGCAGCAGCGAGTATTGGATGCACCAGAGATAGAGCTTCAGGAGGATTTGACTACTATTGAGATTCCAGTTTGTAATCTTGCCAGGGAGGACAAGAGGCTTAGAAACAAAGTGATTTCTTTAGTGAAATTTCAGTGGAACCGAAGAGGCGTTGAGGAGATTTCTTAGGAGCGCGAAGAGGACATGCGTCGCGAATATCCACACATGTTTGAGCAGGTAAATTAAAGCTTTTGTATGATTTTTATATGGCTTATAGATTCATTTATGGCGATGTTTATACTTAACACTAAAATGAGGGTATTACCACTTATCTCCTAAGTACTTGGAACATATGGTATATATATGAGGGGTTCCTTATTTGGATTTTTCGCTTAATGTACTTGTTCCATTTAGTTAGGGGTTAAGTGGGGGTATTTACATTTTAGATTGTTAAGTGTAGACATCGAATATGATTTTTCGAGAGCGCGTAGATGATATGTAGCGCTACTTCCTGCATTTTTTGAGGAAGTGAATTGATTCATATGCATGAGTATTAGTGTGATTATATTTAGATTTAACGCTAGGATGAGGATATTTCCGCTCAATTTTTAACCTTTGGAACACATGGTATATATATGGGGGGTTCCTTGTTCGGATTTTTTGCCCGACGTACTAGTTCCATTTGTTTACGGGTTGAGTGGGAATATAGTCATCCTGGAGTTTTAAATATAAATATCGTTATATGCTTGTCTAGAGTAATACTATTTGTTTGAATGTGCTTTCTGAATTTCGAGGACGAAATTCTTTTAAGGGGGGAAGAATGTAGAACCCCGTATTTTATTAGAAGTATATGTGAATTATTAGTGATAAATAATTCTATTTGTGGTAAATGACTTGAGGCCATGAATATACTTGATAACAAGTCATTAGATATGTATGAGTGTGGTTTCATAGAGTTTCGTGCATTGGTTTTGGCTGAATAGCAAAACATGCACGAAATCTGGTTTTAGTGTCTGCTCAGTCGACTTATGAGTCGACAGTTGACTTATGAGTCGACAGTTGACTTATGAGTCGACTGATGAGTCGACCTATAAGTCGACTGACGGGCAGATTTTGGGTTTTCTTTTAGTTGCGGTTATATATATATATATATATACCCGAAACCAACCCAAAACCCCCCTCTGAATCCCAGAGAAACCCTAGCCCCTCTCTCCCCTTAAACCCTAGTTCCTTTTGGCGATTTTTAGGGGATTTTTCAGAGGATTTCAGCGAGATTTATCGAGGTGCAGCATAGGAGATCTTTCCCTCTCGGATTCAGAAGTTGGTCAGCATACCAGAGGCGAGTAACATCTCGCCAAATCCTACACCCATTGTTTGTATAGCTTTCTTGAGTTTTTTATTTCGGATTTTGAGCCTAAAACGTATTTTTATGCATAAAAATAGGTACTTTACATTATGAGATGGGATTTTGAGCCTAAAACGTATTTTTATGCATAAAAATAGGTACTTTACATTATGAGATGCAAGATCTATATTTTTCAGTTATAAAAAGCTCACAAACGAATTTGTAAATTAAGATCCAGATCTGAAAATTTGTTTAAACATGAGATTCAATGTGATTTACTGTTTTCAATACGTTTTTAAACATGTTTATATGATTAAGGTTTTAATGTAACTGATCACATGCAAACCCCTTTAGTTTCTATTGATACTCATGAGTTAGAATCGGAAATGTATTGCTGGACATGATTCAAGAGAATTTTCGTTAACGTTTTTGCAGATAATCGCCGAAAATAGAAAACTGGGGATTTTCTGCTCAGTCAACCAATGAGTCGACTCATGAGTCGACTTATGAGTCGACTGATAAGTCGACCAATGAGTCGACTGATGGGAAAAATCACAGATTTTGTGTGCTTTGTCTTGTCGACTCATGAGTCGACTGATGAGTCGACCAATGAGTCGACTAATGAGGAGTTTTCTTCTTTTGTATTTCTTCAGTTTGGATCTGTTTGAGTTATTTCAGTTTAACTAAAATCTGTTTATGTTTATTGTTGCTGCGTGCTTAAATATGAACGAGGAGTGCCTCGAATGACGGGTATTAGAAATTAATGTATAACCTGTATCTTTACATGTGAGATGACATGCGGACACGAGTTTAGATTTGTGCACCGAGACACGTGAGAAATTAGGGTATATGCACCTGTTCATATAACTCATCTAGTCCATGTGTTAGGCAATTATGATGTGTAGTCCATGTGTTGGACACTTATCACTTTCAGTCCATGTGTTGGACAGTTTACATATGCAGTCCATGTGTTGGACATCCACTACATCAGTTTAGACCTTGAGAGTTAACACCTATACTTGAATAGGCTGGATACGTCATTTATATGAGTTGTGACACGACACCGTAATTAAGTCTGAGATGAGTTTGTCTTCTTTTATTAATGTTCTTGTATTAGATTTTGGGTTTGATATTTAGGGAGGTACAATTTAAGATACAAGGTATATACATGAGAGTTTTCTTGTTTGGATTATTTCGCTCGACATACCTATGCTCGTGTTGTAACTTCCTAAATACTAAAATCCTCTTATACATAGGTATTTACAATCTGAGCTACATGGTATATACATGAGGGTTTCCTTGTCTGGATTATTCCGCTCGATGTACTTATGCTCACATTGTAATTACCTAAATAGGATTTTGTGATTTTATATATATATGTTATACCTGTATTTTCTGTATACAACTAGCCCTTTCTCCTTGGGGTTGGTTGTGATGTTGCTCGCTAGCGCTTTGACGCTCGTTGTCCCTCCCCCTTTCAGGTAACGAGCCAGGAGCCCGGAGAGTCGCAGGTTGATGGCGAGGCACTCTAGCTTCAGCTATTCTATTATAGTTATATTTTACTTTTGAGCTTCACTGTAGGCTTTTGTTAGACATTTTGAGAGTTAGTTCTAGAAGTTTGTAAAGGCTGTGTGCCTTATTTTCTCTTTTTCAGACTTTATGTATTTGAGACTTGTTGAGGAGTTCTAGTTTATTCATTTCAGATATTGACTTGTATTTCAGTATGTTAGATGATGAAATATTAATCTGATCTTTATTATTTCATTAGTTGACTCTTGTGTTATCTTTCACTTGTTTTTGTATCTACACCTGTTATTGACTCTACTAGAGAGATAGTACTTGTGATGGTGAAACATGTTATTGCACGGTGTGGTGCATGGCAGGTTTAACATTCTTGGTTTCACCTTGGATTGCAGCATTGTGTGAACCCAGGGGCGTCACAATCTTCATACAAGTGTTATTCTAAATTTAGAATAATGTGATTTCAGTTTAGCATTTAGTTACAACTTGATGATTGCAGACGATAAAGCTTTCATATTTGAGGGTGCTCATTAACAATTTAACATGATAGCTTGAAAACATTGAATGAAACTTGTTTTTTAGTGTCCATTTAATTTATTAAACGTGATGATTCTCTGATGATTCGGAGATCCTTGAGCTGTTGGTATGAGTACCGAGCCATGCGTGATCTATTATTTGCTAACACGCTTCAGTTAGTTTGACAAAAACGGAGGGCAAACGATTTTCACCAGGGGTGTTCTATTAAAGCATTACTACTTAGTTCGCTACCGCAACCGATGAAACCTACATGGGCGCACCGAACCGAATTTGATCCGTGCAGTTCGGTTGCACAAAACCGACCCGACTGACCGGACGCTCAGACCTGGTTGACCCAATCTTTGGATGGTACAGCAAATTTGCTTTTTGATTTTGATGCTTAGATCATCTCCAACCCATTGCATCAAAATAGTACAAATTTTGCATCAAAATGGTACAAAAATCACATCTAACATTAATTCATCTCCAACCCACTACACCAATTTTTACACCGAAAAAAAATATTCTCAGTATATTACTTTTTATCTACTTTTATATTATTATTTTCTATTCCTTATATTTTTAACTATTTCAACAATTAACCCCACATATCAAATTTTATTTTTTTCACATATTCCTTTTTATCTACTTTTAATTATAATATCTAGATTTTAATATTATAATTAATAATAATATCTTTTAAATTTTAACATTATTTTTATAATTAAAAAATAATTTATTTTATCCAAATTAAATAATTAGAGTAAAATTATAAAATTTAAATATTAGTAGGGTTGTTTTATAAATTTAAATAAAACATGAACAGTAATAAAACGATGAATAGTACGACTCCATATTTGATGCAGCACTGTTCAAATGCACCAAAATGACGCAAAAAATGAGGCATGATTGGAAAAAGAACAGTACCAATAAATGCACTGTTTGTATCATTTTGACGCTGGGTTGGAGATGCCATTAGAAGCATGTTTCTATTAAAAAAAGCCCTAAAAACCCTCTTGTTTTTTTTTTAAGATTTCCATAGAAAGTGTTAACACACATGAAGGGGCATTTTCACATTTCTTCCCCATCACAATAATAACATCAGAAGATACTAAAAACAATCCACCAAGGGCACACACAATAGTCGCAAAATCAAAAATTGCACTAACAATACCAACACTTGTTTGGATTTTAAAACACCAAATGCTAAACCATAACTTCTTGCAAAAATACAAATAGATTACAACAACAGCCTCAGAAAACTGATAAACTTTCCTCTCTCAAATCACATCTCTACCGAACACTAAAACAAAGATGATCTATCTGTGAGCCGTCACAAGCGTTTCTATGAATCTGAGCCCATCTAACCTCGGAAAAATTATCCCCTTTTTTTGGACGCCCCTTATAGATCCAGACGAAATCGAACCCTAGAAAACGAATAAATCCAAAAAAATTAATTAAAGAGCAAGGACCAAAATGCAAAATTTGGGTTTTAGCAAGTACCTTATGGGTATTAGTCTTATTAGAAACGCTACAATCGGCGGCAGCGGAGAGAGCAACGGAGGAGGAGGCAGTGACAGCGGCGGAGGCAGCGGCGACGAGGGCGAAGTGCTTCATCTTTTGGATCGCCGGCTGTTGCCGGTGCACTTTCGACACAACACCCTCGCAGGACTAATAACTTACCGCTCCATGACCTCCAGTCGATCGCTTGCATCATAAGTAGGAGTTTTGAATTAACGCGATTGTAACTTCAGTTGGGTTCCGGTCCTTAAGCAGGGCCCCACAAAGCATGGCGGTCCGCTTGCGTTGGATTTTTTGCGGGTAGGGACACTGCTCTAGGTTCACGTGGAAAAAGACTCGTGACGCTTTTGAGATTCGCTAAAATTGTAAATTAACTTTTTTCTTTTTTGTATTTTCAATTAGGGCCTGTTCGTTTGCCTAAAAAAAAGAGGGAAATCAAAGAAATGAAAAACTATTAAAATAAAGAATTATTTTTGGAGTGTTTGGTTGGCTAAAAAAGAAGGAAATCAAAGAAATAAAATTGAAATGATGTTAGTTGTCACCTTATTATTGGATGATGTTTGTGATTTTTTAAGAAAACTAGTTTTGGAGTGTTCGGTTGGCGAAAAAAAATAAGGAAATGAATTATAAGAAATCTATTTTCTGTAGTTTCTTGTTTTCTTTTGTTCGGTTCATTCTTAAGAATAAGAAATGAAATGAGATGAGATGAGTTGTCATTGTATTATTGGGTAATGTGAAGAAAGATTAAGAAAAGTGTTTTCATAACTTTTTGGGATGAAAATGAAGAAATGAAATGTTAATGAGATGAGGTGAATTGTTATAATATTTTATTGGATGATGTGAGTGATTTGAAATGATGAGAAGAGATGAGTTGAGTGATGTTTGGATGAAAATAATATTTTATTAGATGTGATGGATGAGTTGTTAGATGAAAATAATATTTTATTAGATGTGATGGATGAGTGGTTAGATGAAAATCATATTTTATTAGATGATGTGGATGAGTTGTTGGATGGAAATAATATTTTATTGGATGTTGTGGGTGAGTTTTAGGGATGGAAATGGAGGAAATGGTGAGTTTTGAGATTTTCACCATTTCCATTTCCATTTCTTGGTTTTTAGAAAACAAACGAACAGGCCCTTAAAGGTTTTAGGAGGAGAAAGCCGTGACTGATTTGTCATATGATGTCGTAAAATCTCAGGTAAAATGTATTGAAGTACAACTATAGTTAAGTTGTTTGATATCATTTAATCAATTAAATTTGATTTTGAGACTTAAGTAATATGGAACAAATAACTTTTAGTATACAATTAAAATAAGTTAAATGTAATCACTTTAGGGAGTGTTCAGCTCGTGAATTGAGTATCAATACATGTAAATGTCTTATTTAGTTTGTGAGAAATGAATCAAGTGAGAATGAAATGGAATAAGTTTGGAAATAGAATGCTTATCTCCATTCTCACGTTTAAATATGATTAGAAAATAAAGTAAGAATGACAAACTTATTAGATGAGAATGACAATCTAATTTACTTTTGGCATAGGTAACTAATAAACCATCAAGACATTAATTTAAGTTTTTCAGTTTGTGGATCCAATTTTAAACAAACAACGTATTTGTTAAATGAAAACCATGATTTTCAATTTGTGGATCCAATTTTTTCATGTAAGATTGCTAAATCCATGAAAACATACAGCCTCTTAAACAATATTTGATTACTAATTAATTATGTCGAACTTCTTATACCATTGTCGTGGAGCCTGTTTCAATCCGTATAAGCTCTTCTTGAGCCTACACACCATCTCTTCCTTTCCTTCCTCAATGAAGCCAACAGGTTACTTCATGTAGATTTCTTCATCCAAGTCACCATGAAGAAAGGTAGTCTTCACATCTAACTGCTCAAGATAGAGATTTTCAACAGCTACCAAGCTCAACACCACCCTGATGGTTGTGAGCTTCACAACGGGGGAAAATATCTCTGTATAATCCACTCCTTCCCGCTGTTAGAACCCCTTCACGACTAATCTGGCCTTGTATCTCTTCCTTCCATCACTCTCCTGCTTGACTCGGTAAAGCCACTTGTTATGTAAGGCTTTCTTCTGTGCAGGTAGCTGGGCTAACTCTCATGTCTCATTCGAGTGGAGAGAATCCATCTCTTCTTGCATTGCATGCTCCCACTGCTGAGATTCGCTCACTTGCATAGCCTACTCATAGCATTCTGGTTCTCTGTCATCTGTTAAAAGTAGGTAGTCTAGTGACGAGAGATACCTGGGATTCGGTTTGGGTACCCTGGATGATCTCCTAGGCTTCTCACCCTGGGTAGTCGGTTATGCACCTGGAGTCTCCTCCGTTCTTTGGTCAGAGTCGACGTTATCTCACCCATCTGGAAGTTCCTCCAAATCCATGTACTCGGATGCGCCTGCATCCGTAGTGCTGCTCCCACTGCTTTGGCCCGCCTTGGCATTGTCCATGTCCTTGTACATCACTTCCTCATTGAATATGACGTCTCGGCTCCTGATGATTTTCCTATTCTTCTCATCCCACAGACGATATCCGAACTCATCAATATCGTATCCAATGAATGTACACTTCAGTGACTTAGCTTCTAGCTTGATATGGACATATGCCACGCATCCAAAGACTCTCAAGTGTGAGAGATTAACCTTCTTGCCACTCCAAACCTCTTTTGAAATCCCAAAGTCCAATGGAACTGATGGCCCGTGATTTATCAGGTACACTGTTGTATGCACCGCGTCCGCCCAAAAAGTTTTTGGTAGACCTGCATGTAGACGCATGCTCCTCGCACGCTCTGTCAGCGTTCTGTTTATTCTTTCTGCTACGCCGTTCTGTTGTGACGTCCTTGGAGTAGTCCTCTCCAAACGAATCTCGTTGAGAGCACAAAACTTCTTGAACTCCTCCAAATTATATTCTCCACCATTGTCTGATCTCAGACACTTCACTTTTAGATCTGTCTTGTTCTCCACCATGGCTTTCCACTTCTTGAAGATACTGAACACCTCTGACTTGTGCTTCATGAAGTATACTCACACCTTCCTCGAGTGATCGTCGATAAAGGTGACGTAGTATGCCGAGCCGCCAAGAGAAGACACGCTAGCTGGACCCCATATGTCTGTATGAACAAGCTCTAGCTTGTGAACTTTAGGTGGTCTTCCACCCTTTAAAAAACTAACTCTCTTCTGCTTCCTAAAGATGCAGTCTTCGCGAACACCAACTTCCACCGAATCGATGCCGGTTAGCTTCCCTTCTGAGTGTAGAATCTTCATACCCTTCTCACTCATGTGTCCCAGCCTATTGTGCCACAGATCTGCACTCTCATTGCTTGCAGCAATCGCGAGGGTGTCACTCGCGTGTGAAGTTAGGTAGAGGGTACCGGTCTTGTTGCCTCGGGCAACCAATCGCGAGGGTGTCACTCGCGTGTGAAGTTAGGTAGAGGGTACCGGTCTTGTTGCCTCGGGCAACCACTATTGTACCATTGGAGATTTTCCATAAATCTCTGGTGAATGTTGTAACATAGCATTCTATTCCAAGTTGACCTACCGAAATAAGATTCCTCTTCAACTTCGGTACGTGTCTGACATTCTTCAGAGACCACTTAGAACCCTCCAACTGTATTTGCACGTCGCCTCTCCCAATTACACTACATGGTTCATTATCCCTCAAATATACTTTTCCAAAGTCCCCTGCTACATAGTTCTGAAATAGCCTTCTATTTGTAGTGGCGTGGAATGAGACTCCCGAATCAATAACTCATGAATCAGAATCGCTATCCATAGAGAGAATCAACGCATCTTGCATAATATGAGCCTCCTGCTCATTTTTCTTCAGTGCTTTACAAGTAGAAGACATGTGGTCCTCCTGGCCGCAGTTCCATCATTTCCCCTTGATGTGTCTCACCTTCGAGTTTGACCTCTTCTTCTTCTTCTTCGATCGATTCCTATTTTGGTTCCCCCTATTATGGCTTCTGCCTCTCTGCTCGAGACTTAGGGCTGAACCTAAACCTTCTGATTCATTCAATTTTCTTCTAACCTCCTCGGATAGAATCATAGCTACCACCTCCTTCAGTTTCAACTTCTTCTTCCCTACCAAGTTACTGATTGCGGTCACGCAACCTACCCAACTATCCGGCAACTACGATAGTATCAATAGGACATGCACTTCGTCATCAAACTTGATGTTTACTGAGATAAGTTGATCAACAATCGTGTTGAATTCGCTGAGATGCATCGTGAAGGAACATCCTTCTGCCATCTTGAGGTTGAATAGCGTCTTGACGAGATGCACCTTATTTACAGCTGACGGTTGCTCGTACATCATTGCGAGCGCTTCCATAACCCCAACCGTCGTCTTCTCCTTTAATATATTGTGTGCTACAGATTTTGCGAGGGCCAATCGGACCTGCCCCAAGGCTTTTCGATCCAATATTTCCCAGTCCTCGTCGGATTCTTCTTTCTTCTTTCCTTTTGCTTTACCCATCAACGGACGGTAAAGATCCTTCTGGTACAGATATTCCTCCATCTGTGACTTCCAGTAGGCGAAGTCTGATCCGTCAAACTTCTCAATTTTTGATTTGCCTTCTTCTGTCATTTCTTACACACACAGATCTAAACAAGAGCTCTGATACCAGTTATTGGGTAAATAAATATCAGATACACTCTGACACCCGATCTACGGAATTTGCCCTACTGGATCTTATGTTAAGCAATGGAAAAAAGAAATCACTACAAATCAAAAATAATAATTACAAGAACAGAGAACACCGATTTTAATGAGGTTCGACAACTTGCCTAAGTCCTCGGGAGCCACTGTAGGCATATAAAACTGCTTATAGGTCCCTTAACACAGCTCGGCACGGTGATTCAACAAACCAACGAACCATTGGGCGACATATCCAAATACGATCATTGGACCACAACACCGAGAATCAGTTAAACGCGACGAAGCAGATTAACGAGGCGACGAGGTTGACGAACCGCACGCGAACTACGGAATACATTCACTCGCGTGCGAAATCAAGCTAACGGTTCGGTGAGTCAGCGAGTCATCCAACCATAGAACGGATTCGAACTCAAACACCAAAGCGGGTTTACTGCCAAATCAGGATTCAGATCAACAAATCAGAGTCCAAATCAACAGCGAAACCGAAAAACGTCGAAAACCAACATTTGGAGGACTCGGCCAAAACCGAGCCACCAAAAGGTGGCTCGGTGGCCGGTGTCACACCCCACTTCCCAAAATACCAGGGAATCGGGACGCGAGTAAGCCTACGA